TGTATATATATATATACAACTATACAATTGTATATGCATGTACACCAGCATATGCTTTGGCACATGTAGATTTACTTGTACATACTCATGCATATGCACATGTGCACTATATGCATAGCGTAAGCATCCGATGCGCTCGTCAACATGCGCTGGAGAATGCTGCGCAACTTGCCGAGGTTTCTTGTTAGGGACACTTGATATTTATTCAGGGGTCCAAAACTCAGGACGCCGCTAATTTGACTCGAGTGTTATATAGCTGCCTGCACAATTTCAGCGAGAACCCCGTATTATCCCTTTACCATTGTAGCGTAGTTTGCCAGAATACCCGAATCTAATCATTAGGGACCGCATGCCCAAACTCCGACAATACTTATATGTTTCTGATACTGCCGCATATATCCCGGTTCTATTTCATTGTTGAAGCCCTGTAGTGCAGTAGGTAATCCCGTGCCTTCTGAAACTTGTCCCCGAAGTTTGGTAATCACCAGCACTGCGGGCCCAGGCACAGCTTCCAAGTTCCTCCTGGCGCCTGGAAATGAAAACATCTAAGTAACAAAATGGCCGTGTCTGGAGTAGGTTTGGGTACCCCAAACTCTACACATTTGAACCCCTGAAATCCCTGAATCTCTAAACCCGAGCCCCCCAAACCTGAAACCAAACCCATGCATAATACACGACGAGTCTCGTCTACCCCCTGGCGAACTGGACCATGCCTAACGGTCGATGTGCTTATAGTACATGGTTCCTTGTTCCGCAAAATCACGGAGCTGAAGATTTAGGATACGACTTTTTTTTGGGGGGGGAGGGTAGAATAAGATGCTATACTTAAGACCTTCACCCTTATACTAGAGACTATGATACGTCTGACTGCACATTCCGACCTCTTTCTGGCTTTAGCTACACCGACCCGTTGGGTATTGCCTACTTGGAGGTTCATGGGTCTTATAAGTGGGGTTACAGGTCCCGTGATATGGGCTGTGAGTTATGAGTATAGTTACCCTACTTAT